AGCCTACCCACAGAGCAAGGCAAGCCAGCCTTGTGTGGAGGCCCTGGCTTCTTTGATGTTTGTTAAGTCTGTTTTTCTTTTGCTGAGGGTCTCTTACCCACACAACATAGCCCTACAATATGCTTTCTAGTCCGTAATACCATTCCTATACTATTTGGAATATTAAAAACAACTGCAGATTGGTAAGCAAGAGTTAACCACACAATTAATCAACTATATTTCTAAAGCATGTTACTAACATAGATGGTATTTCTACTTTTCAAATCAGCAATTCCTAAAGACAAATTACAAAATACAAATACACTGTTCTCTACTTCTTCAGGTTAATTCCCTCTTTTTTTTTTTAATATCAAATGCAGAAACAACATTCCATTCCTATGTAACTGGCAACAAAAGGGTAAACCTATTTGGGCTGCTGAACCGTGGAAAGACATTGCTGCCCGAATAAAGGATATGGCTGTAAAGGTGCGCCATGTAGATGCTCATGTGCCCAAGAGTCGGGCTACTGAAGAACAGCAAAACAACCATCAGGTAGACCGAGCTGCCAGAATTGAGGTGGCTCAAATAGACCTGGACTGGCAGAACAAGGGTGAATTATTTCTAGCTCAGTGGGCCCATGAGACCTCAGGTCATCAAGGGAGAGATGCAACATACAAATGGGCTGGAGACCAAGGGGTGGATTTAAGTATTGCACAGGTTATTCATGACTGTGACACATGTGCCACAAGTAAACAAGCCAAGAGGATGAAACCTCTCTGGGAGGAAGGGCGATGGCAGAAGTATAAATATGGGGAGGCATGGCAGGTTGATTATATCACCTTGCCACGATCTCACAGTGGTAAGCGTTATGTGCTCACCATGGTGGATGCAACCACTGGGTGGCTTGAAACATATGCAGTACCCCATGCTGCCACCCGAAACACCATGTTGGGTCTGGAGAAACAAGTGCTGTGGCGACATGGCACCCCAGAAAGGATTGAGTCAGATAATGGGACTCATTTCAAAAATTCTCTTGTTAATGGTTGGGCCAAAGCATTTGGATTTATGATATCCCCTATCATGCACCAAAATTCTGATTGCTCTGTAATTGGTTATTTAGGCCACACAGCTACACAATTTCTAATCATTTTCTGTTATGTTTTATCTCTGGTTCTCAAATTTCTCTTCCAGTTTTTCATCATACTTCCTAAAGGACTTATAGCAGGCACTGCTCCAGGGAATCACTCACTGTCCCTCACCTTGGAACTCTTATTCTCCATTTCTCTCAGCAACCCATGGCCATAGGACTGCAGAATCCTCCCTTCTACAGCGTCACACACACCAAGCCTCAGTCCTAGGAAATGAGGTGTACCATCAAGCAACCCTTTTACAAGATGTTCACATAAAACATAAGAGTCCCAGACCTCGACCTCCAAGGCAGTACTTAATCACACAGGATTGTTCTTACCTTGCTCTGTGCACAGAGTTGCAAGGAGTTATCCGGTCAATCACACAACACCGTAGGGCCTGCTGTCTGTCCCTGTCCCCCAGCTGTTCACAGATGTTGCCTCTTAAAAACAGCCTCGGGTCCACAGCTGGCTCCACAATGAACCCCAAAATCCAAATGAATACCCCAACTCCTAGCATGACCCCCAAAATCAAGGGATTAACCCTGTACCCCAACAGATGACCCCATAAGCCCAAGGAAGACCCCAAAATCCAATGAAAGCCAACCCGCAGGGCTGCAGAAAAATGAGCGGGGTACACTGTCCTGTGCTGTAGAAGTGGAGGCTCACCACAGACGTTGTTGTTTCCCAGGTTTCAGCAGCAAATTGTGAGAAACACGCTCCAGATCAACAATTTCTAATCAGGCAAAGAACTTTCTGAAGAGCAGTTTATGCATTATTGCAGTAATGGATGCACCCCCCCTGCGACAAGGGAGAAATTGACAAGTACTCAGTGAAATCCATCCCTTTATATACCCTGGGTCCGATGCAGGTAAAGCCTCTCCTGGCATTCATTGGTTGAGCATCCCAGGCTCACAGTCTTCACAACGCTCTTCTTCCTTACATTTCCACGCAATGACTGTTACCAACCCATTGTTTTTAGGTATGTTCTGTATTTTTTATGGCAATAGGAGGGCAATATTCTCAAAAATTAACACACTCCTTCTATCCTGTTCCAGGCTCTCCCCTACCTGATATAATTACCTTACCGAGTGTCTGTGCCAATTCTGCCCATGTTGGAACACTCCAGTCTCAACCTTACTCTGTTCAGCAGCTTTCCTTGTGACTGGAAATTTCCACGGCAAGAACAAAATCACAGGGTTTTACTCACACTTTACTTCATGTTTACTAACACTTTACACCAGGTTTACACACACTTTACTTCAGGTTTACACTTCTACTTTTCTCCAGGCTTTACTCACACTGCACAACTGGCGTACTCACACTCTATTCCCAGTGTCCTCACACATTACTTCAGGGTTTATTCACACCTTACACTGGTTTCACTCACACTTTATATCTGCTTACCTCACACTTTACTCTGGATTTACTGATACTTTACTCCTGCTTTACTCTGACTTTTATCCAGGTTTTATTCACACTCTACTTGTGGGTGTATTCACAGTCTACTCCAGGTTTACTCAGACTTTATTCTGGGATTACTCACACATTAATTCATATTTTCTTATGCTTTGCTTTACTCTGGATGTACTCACAACATACTCTGAGTTTAATCACACTTTACTTTGATGTCACTCGTACTTTACTCTAGCTTTTACTCATGCTTTACTCTGGGTTTACTTATACTTTACTTCAGAAGTGTTCATAATTTACTTCGAGTTTACTTATTCTTTACTCCCGGTTTACTCATACCTTCCTTTGGGTTTTACTCACACTTTACTCCAGATTTTACACACACTTTACTTCACTTTTTGATCACATTTTACTCAGGGTTTACCAACACTTTACTCGGTCATTTACTCACCCTCAGCTCCAGGTTTACTCCAACTTTATTTTGGATTTTACTCACACGTTACTTGAGTTACCTCACACTTTACTCCGGGTTTACTTTTCTCTGGGTGCCCTCACACTTTACTTTGTGTGTGCCCACACCTTGCTCGGGGTTTTACTTGCAATTTCCTCTGTGTTTCACTCACTCTTTACTCAAGTTTTACTCACATGTTACACCAGGTTTACTCTTACTTTTATCCTGGTTTTAATAGCATTTTACACTGGATTTACCCACACCTTACTCCAGTCTTTTCCAACCTGAGCGATTCTATGATGCTATGATTCTATATGGAGGTATATATAGTCATAACTATCACACATTTCCTGTTATCTCTCTTAGTAAAGAGCTTTATTTCAACCCACGTGTTGTACTCTGTTTTTTCCAAGTTCTCTTATCCATTTGTGGGAAGGGGCAGTGCACAAAGCCCTGTGTGGTGCTGAGCCTCCTGCTGGTTTAGACCACCACCGTCATTTTGGTGCCTGATGTGGGGCTGCAATGGCTGAGATAGCAGCAGATCTGTCCAGAGCAAGTTAGCACAGGGCTCTGTGGTAGTCGGATAACTGCAGGCCATGACGCTGATTTTTTCTCTAATGATGGATCTCGTTGAGCCTTCTCATGACACTGCATTGCACAGCTCCTTGCTTGCTGCTTGTTTTCCCTGATGCAGTGTTTGTCATCTCTGGGGGCTGGATTAGGGTTTTTATTCTGCTGTGCTGTTTGGCCTTGGCTTGCATTGTGATAAAGTGGTCAGCTGACAAAATAATGTTCTGTGCGCATTCAGCTCTGCAGTAGTCATTGGGTTTGGGAAGTAATACTGTGGATATGATTTGTAATTACACTCCTGGCTTTGTGTGCTCAGGGAGCCCAGCTATGGAGGAGATTGGGGAGAACACTTTCCAGCAGCTCCTCAGCCTCCCTTTCACTTCTCCTTCTTTCCCTAGAGCTCGAGAGCTAGTTACCATAGTATATATTACATATATAATGGAATCATAGAATCGGAGAACCATAGAATCATTGACCAGTCTGGGTTGAAAAGGACCCCAGTGGTCATCCAGTTTCAACCCCCTGCTATGTGCAGGGTCACCAAACGCTAGACCAGGATGCCCAGGGCCACATCCAGCCTGGCCTTGAATGCATCTGGAGATCAGGCATCCATAGCCTCCTTGGGCTAAAGATGAATATATACTATATATATCATATATACACAAATACGTATGTTAAAAATACTATCTTTTTCTTTTTTCTCTGTCTTACAAAATAGTATCTCTACCCACAGATTCAGCTTTGTGGTTTTATTTCAGTTTTCTCCCCTCTTCAACTGGGAAGGGGGCAGTGAGCGAACGACTGTGTGGTGCTGAGCCATCTTCCATGGTAAACCACAGTGCTGCCCTGAGACCATAACAGATCACCCTGGGACTCTGAAACTGCCCCCGTGACTCAGTGAAAGCACCAGAAGATCTCAATGTCTTGTCATAGAGCAGCTCCTGACGTATATTCTTTACAGCAGATTTGGAAGAGGCCTCCAGTTCTCTGGTCCTGCTCTGATGAGCCCCTCTTGTTATGGTGGTGCCAGCAAGGAGACCAGCTGTGACACAGCAGTTCGTATTGCTGACTACTGACTGCAGCCCCGGAGTGCTGCAGTAGAGACAACAGCACTGTTGTGACACACAAGACCTTCAGGTCTGCACAAATGCGAGGACATGAGAGCAGTGTGTCAGTGTAAAGAGACCAGGAATGAAAAGAGCGTGTTGTGCTGCTGACTGTGGCTGTACCTCCCCCAGATCCAGACAAGGTAGGAAGGGAGAAGAGCTAGGGAATAGTATTTTTTTGCAAGGTTTTATAGTGTCTTTTATTTATTTGGGGAATCTGGTTGCGTATTTACATGAGGTCTTGGTATGAGAAAATGGGAAGTAGATGGGAAAGAAGAAGTGGAATAAACTGCAATGTTTTTTCCAAGATTACTCTATTACACTTAACACAAACAGACAAAAAGTCATACATACGTAAAATATAAAGAACCATCACAAGGAACGATGTGAGGAAGATATGCACATTATTGAAGCAGGGATATTGCATGCTGCAACACTTTGCTGAGGGCATGCTTGATCTCCTTGTTCCTCATGCTGTAGATAACAGGGTTCAGTGTTGGAGGAACCACAGAATAGAGAAGTCCCACCATCAGATTCAGGGATGGGGAGGAAATGGAGAAGGGCTTCAAGTAGCCAAAAAAGCCAGTGCTGAGAAACAGGGAGACCACGGCCAGGTGAGGGAGGCACGTGGAGAAGGCTTTGTGCCATCCCTGCTCAGAGGGCATCCTCAGTACTGACCTGAAGATCTGCACATAGGACAAAACAATGAATGTAAAACACCCAAAGGCTAAACAGATACTAACAAGGAGAATCCCAAATTCCCTGAGAAAGTATTGTGAGCAGGAGAGCTTGAGGATTTGGGGGATTTCACAGAAGAACTGATCCACAGCATTGCCATGGCAGAGAGGCAGTGAAAATGTACTGGCAGTGTGCAGCAGAGAATAGAGAAGCCCAGTGCCCCAGGC